CTGACCGACAAGAATTTACGTATTGTACGTGCACAATCGACCGAAAGTTTGTAATCACTCGGCGAATCGATAGCAGTTAACGTGCACGCGAATGAAAAAGACGAAAAATATTAGCTCGACGATAAGAGAAAACTCATCTGAAACAGCGTAACGGAGCGTAGAGAAACGAAAATGTATTTTGACAAAATGATTTTACTCGAATCGACCAAAAATAGCGGGGAGAAATTTTCAGAAATCAGTGCACTCGATTCGCGCATCGTTCTCCCGCAGCCCACGCGAACCGCGCTTATGGCTCCGGACACGTGGCAAGTCCCGAGAAAGCTTCGGAACCGGGTCGCGCCGAAACGATCCGACGCCCACGCGATTATATAAAAATGATTCTCGAGGCGCTGGCCACGTCTACGTTTTCGGGCAACGTCGCGAACAGAATCGTAACTCGATGTGTCCCCGTTCACCCTTCACGGCGATGTATATCCTAAAGTATTATAAAGTAGAAATTATGAGCGCGATAGCACCGGCGAGCGTCGAACCTCCTCTCGGCCGACCTTCGGCTTATCACGCGATTCCTCGTTCATCCGCGGCCGGCCTGGCGCTTGTCATTTCCGTGCGTCGCCTTCCAACGAGAACAACGTAACAAAATCTATTGTTGGTCTCTTCGTTCGTATCTCGTTGGAGTTTCTATGGCTCCGACGCGGCGCGCCGACTCTGGCCGATATCTCTCTATCTCCCGGCTCCGCTCCGCTTCGCTCCGGCGCGATTTGCAGCGATACATCGGGCGAGGACCACGGCCGAGAGGCAATTTCGAGGCCCGAAGGGTTGCTCGCACTGATTCGCGACCCTAAATTCGCTAAACGCAGGCCGGATCTCGGCCTATTCTGCGCGACCCGCTCCAAACGTTCTGCGAACGTTCTGCGAGATCGAACTGGCGACCCGAGCCAGGAGATCGCGAAAATCGAGCTGCTCCTCGTCGACTGCCACGATTTTTGTAAAACTGGCCGATCTGCGATTTTTATAAAAAGATAGCGTTGCAACTCGACGTATCAGAGGAATATCGAACAAGATTCTGGCACAGCTGCGGCAGAATTTCAACCCTCGCAGGGGAACATCCGCGACAACTTTTGAACCGCTTGAAATGAAAATACAAGGTAATCGTTATAACTGATCGATCGTGGTAGTCGCGATCGGGATGTCAGATCGATCTCGACGAGCTCGAGAATCTTTTCTCCGCAATATCTGCACCGCGAGCGCGCGCCCTCGCACACAGACGCACACAAACGCACACACGCTGACGTTCTCTCTTCCGTTTCCCCGGCGCGGCGTGGTGTGCTAAAAACCGCCTACGGATCGCAAGAAATGGCGCCGCCGTTTCGCATTCTCTTGTCTCCTCTCGTTCGAACGTAATTTGTTGATCGGTGATCGATACCTCGGGAAGATCGTATTGTGCATCTTTCGCTACTTGCTTCGCGGTTGTTTTTTTTTTATCATTTACAAGAACTATTAAGAAACGCTACGTCCTATCGGCTACTTCTCGCTAAATGCTTCCTTCCCATTCCTCTTTGGTTCGTTACGCGTGTCCGCACGCTTTCTGTTCCGCCTGCACGCTCCTGCACGCTCGCTCACCTGTTCCGGACCGATCCGTGTCCGTTTCCGATCCATCGCGTCCACCTGCGACCAGTTTCTTCGACTGTTCGGGCCCTCGATCGCTCTTCGCCGAGCGAACGCGAGAGCCAGCCGGCCCTGAAGAACAGTCTCGTTAACAAATGGGCGGGGTCATCTCGACGAGAATAGATCAGGCATGAGCTACGAGCGACTCGAATTGCTCCCGGAGCAACGTTCGGGGCGAACGATGTCGTGGAAGCCAGGAATTCCCAATCTTGCGATCGAAGACCGCCCGTGTCGCGCTCTCTTCCCCTTCCTGCGAGGCGGCCCGCAGAGGCCCGTAGAGGCCCGCGGGGCAATCCGTGCCCATGCCTGAGCTAGATCGACGAGCTGAATCATTAGAACGAATCGGTACATAATAAGGCTGACAGACGCGACGATTTCTCCTCCCCCTTCGGTTCTCCTAGGTCAGGCATGGACAACGAGCTCTCTCTCTCTCTCTCTTTCTCTCTCTCTCTCCACCACCGAGAGCACTCTGAATTACCCGCCAAGGCAGATAACGTCAGAGAATGAAGAAACGTTCAATCTCACGGTAGAAGATCGCCTGTCTTCCTCTCCGTCTGGGTACGGTAGGCGTGGTCTGCTTCGAGAGGGCGTGGCTTCGTTGCCCCGACGCAGCCGGGACAGCGATCCACGGAGCAATCTCTGCCCGCGCTTGCGCCGAGTGGTCTCTCGTGCAATCGAATATCCACGTTCTTGCTCGGGTAACTTGTCGTTTCTTGCACGAGTCAGCGACTAGGCAGCTAGGGGTGAGATCGTGGCTGGCCAAAGAGAGCTGGAGCGTGTTAGCAGCTGAATCGCGAGTCGGATGTTCCTTCGTTGCCGAGGATGTACAAAAGTGCGTCTTGAAGCGAATGTCGCCGCCGAATCAGCTCAACTCTCTCAATCTCTCTGTTTCTCTCCTCCCTCCGTTGTTCCGCCTCTCGCTCCGTTCAACATCTGCCAGTGTTTTCCTTGCCCATCCCGTTCCCAGCCTCGGCTTTCCTCGCGTTCCCCACAGTTCCCATTTTTTTTGGCTGTTTTCTGTTTCTTCTTTAGTAAAAAGCTAGGCCGCTGTTAGGCGTTCAGGGCGATTCCCGATACGACGCATCTCCCTCTCCCCTCTCTCCCTTTCTTCCTCTCTCTCTCTCTCTCTCTCACTTTATTATTTTCTTTCATTCTCTTCGCATCGTTTCGAACAGTCACTTTCCGCAAAAAATCTTCGAACCGTGTCCTTAAACTTAATCGATATCACGTTACTACTATCGTTAATTCTACGCGTTTAAAACGTACTTTGAAACATTTCATATAATACAGAATCTGTTTAACGGTTAATTAAAAATCTTCATCCGACTCTCTCTCTCTCTCTTTCCCTTTCGCTCTCGCTCTCTCCCTCTCACTCGCACTTTCGCAACCATTTAAGTCTGTACATGTTTCCCGTTCTCTCCTGCTCTACCGCACTCTCTGTTTCTCTTCGCGTGTACATGTAACAACAACGATGATAATGGCGATGACGACGACAACGATGATGATGATGATGATGTTCGTGACGATGACGACGACGACGACGACGACGACGACGACGACGACGACGACGACGACGACGACGACGACGACGACGACGACGACGACGACGTCGACGACGATGTTGATGAACGATAACGAGGATGGTAACGGTGAACGATGGTCGCAAGGATGGCGATGACGGTCGTCGCAATGATAATCATAATAACGGTAATAATCATAGTCGTAAGAATAATCCAACATCGTCTAAACGGTATCACCGTAGCGTGTCATAGCGTGACATCGAGAACTCGAAAGAATGTTAGCGAAAAAATAGCTCGGTGAGTGGCGGCGACTAGCGGGACCGTGAAGCTGCAGCTTTTCAATTCGCGCGAACGTTTCTTTGTTGCAGGTCTTACGTTTCGCAACGACGCTTATGTCGGTCCCATGACGGCGTCTACGTCTTCTGCTCCACGGTGCCCGCACGGCCGTGCTTCATTAGTTCGAAGACACGTGCTCTGTTCGCAGCGACTTGGTCAATGTTTCTCTTGTCGTTGTTTCGTTGGAACCATCTGATTTCAGTATATCGAGACGTTGCGATAGAGACAGATCTGTCGGCCATTTTGTCGACACTATTCGAACGCTTCCGCGAGGAACTATTTGTCTCTTCTGTTTACCTTGCTGCAGAGGACAAGAATTGAAATAATACCGCATCCGTGAAACCAATTAGCGCACCGTAGAACTATGAGGTCGAGTCATAAATAACTGCAGCTAGGTAGAATCTATTGTTCGTATCTGTTTACAGTAATGTCTCTCTAATTGACGCTCAGATTGCCCACAGATGTGGACAATTTGGGAAGAGGAGATACGACTATTCGAGCTTTGCAGCTCGTTTTCATAGTTGTTGACAATCGATAATCATAAAGAACGAGTCGCAAGGCTCGAACAATCGTATCTTCTCTTCCCAAATTGTCCATTTTTGTGCACAATCTGAAGGTCAGTTAGGGAGACATTAGTGCACTATGAGTCACCGGAGCAAACAAGTTTTTGCTTTCTCTAAATTGATAATGGTCCAAGATAACTAAAAAAAAGAAAAAACAGAAAAGAAAGAAATAGAAAGCAAAGTAAATCTCGGATAACAAAACGGAAGTTATTTATGACTCGACCCGATAAACAATCATTCCCCAAGCACGTCCAAAGAACGTCCTTGTCGAATCATCGCCTACAAGTGGACAAATCGTGCTTTCCCCGTTGAGAAAAATTAGCAAATTTCGGAGATCTGTGACCCAGTCGCTGGACAGATCGCGTTTAAGTCTATCCGCGGAGAGGGCCGCGTGATTCCGCTCGTCGTAAACGCGATTACCATCAAGAGGTGCAGAGCAAGCGTCGCGGTGCTCGATTTTAATGGTCGCCGAGCTGCTCGCGCGGCCATCTTTCGCGGGCATGCGTCCCCTCGGGATCTCTACGCGCTTTAGGAATGTTCGATCAGCTCGCATGCCGCTTACGTAGACTAGTTTCTGCTGAATAGTAGAGTAATTGAGGTTTAAAAACGAGCGCAGCCCGGACCGGAAGCGCGCGTGTCGATCCGTTCGCGCGATCGTAGTCCGATGCGGCGCTGCTCGGATCCGATCCGACGATCGACATAGATCGATTTCTCCTGTGGTATCTGGAATTTCTCCTGGTGGATCCAGCTCTGTCATCGCGTCGGTCTAGACGTCCGCTTGCGTACGGGGTCCGCGTTCTCTATTCGCGCGACGACGCGTTTTCAAGGCAGACGCGGACTCCTCGCGAACGCCACGGACGATTCCAGCCGAAACCGTGGATCTTGGACCGGTTTGTTTCCGCCCCGAACGATTCTCTTTTCTTTCAATGATCGATTTATTACTCGTAAAATTGATAACGTTAACGATCGTATCGTTTTAACAGCGGGCGGTCTTGTTACAGGGGATGTTAAAATTGCAGCAGTTCGTTTCGTTGCATGTTGCATTCCCACGAACGCTACGAAAGCACACAAATCCGCGGTCTGTTTTCACGATGCAATTATATGATCGCGAGTGGTGGATCGAATGGGCGAGCAGCTTGTTATATTTTCTTTTTGAATAAAAGATAAGGATGTACGTGGGCAAGAGAGGCCGCCGTTCGATAACGGTGGAGGTAAAAGGATCTCCGCTCGCGATGGTTACGTAAAACGACGTGACGGAGTTTGATTTGACCCGGGAAACACGTATCCGCTTGACGCGTTCGACGCCGATGACGTAGATTTGCCTTTCTCCGCGGGTCGCGGTTGTTCAACGCTAAATCTACCGCGTTGGTCATTCTGACCGCGGTTTCACATTTTTCTTTTTTATCTAGAGATTGACATAACCTTGACATTATAAAGACACTTTTTATAGGAATTGATCGAATGGATTTTCTTAATTCAAACGTACGTCGTAATAAAAATGGCGAAAAGTCAAACACACAACGTTGTCGTGTCATTTTTATGGAACGATACGGTCAATTTTAGTGCTCGGTGTAGATTTAGCGTTAAGAATTCTGTGAAGAGTTCGAAACCTTGACCGATCATCGCAATCGTTTGGCGTGGTATGCGCGAAAAGCGGTCGGGAGAAATCGTTCGAGGCGTCGCGGCGGATCCTTGGATCGCCGTGGATCGGCGTGCCGATCGTCGCAGCCGACCCGAGACCGAGTAAAGTGTCTAGACGCTACGATTTACAGGCGAGAAGAGACTGTTGTCTTAGAGAGAGAAATCAGCGAGCGGTCGGGCCCATCCATCGTCTAACGAGAGCGTCTATCGTGCCGGTACGATGGGTTTCGTGCCAAAATAGAGATGGTTCGATCGCGGCGTGGCCGGTGCGGGGCCAGCTCGATCATCGCGATCGGTTACGGCCGTGGTACTGGCTTTTGCGGCTTGGCGATACCGGGACCATCGTTTACACGGTTCAGCGAGAGTTCATTGTCCACTCGATCGAGACAATTTGGCAGTTCGACCGACGCGACGCCGCCTTTGGTGTGATCGAAGCGGAGAACATCGACGAATTTGGTCGGCCTCCCGTTAGGTCGTCCGCGGAACATCGAGCGAGAAGTACACGTCGATCGTCGATCCGGATTTAGAATAAACCGTCGAGGTTCGCCGGAGGCTAACGAGAGGCGTTGACGATCGGTTCGTCCAAGACGCTAGGACTAGGATAAGTATCGTAGAGGAAATCGTAGAAGAAGTAGAGAAGAATTAGAAGAATTAGAAGTAGAAGTAGAAGAAGTAGAAGAAGTAGAAGAAGAAGAAGTAGAAGAAGATGAATAAATCGAATTATATAGAATACAACGAGAACAGTGAGAACAGTAGAGGAGATAAAAAGGGGGTTGTGGGACGCGCGGCGAAGTAGGGGGTGTTTGCTTTCTGCCCCCTCACCCTTCTCCCGGATTCTAGAGACTCGTGGTTGTCGGTTATGGTCGCGCGATCGTTGGCACGATCGGCCAGACCCGCTCGCTGCGGCTAAACAAAAACCGGCGCCCGTCCCCGTCGTTCGCCGGACAACGGCACACCGCGGTTTTACAGTTCTTAAGGAGATGAGTATTTTGTTTCAGGTATTTCAAGGTTTATACAATATGTACACGTAGTAGTTAATATACTTTGCCGAGCTAGTGTCGAACGCAGAACGCAACAAACAAACGTAAAAACAAACGCACGCTTCGTTTAGTCGCGCCGAAGCCGACACTAGGCGTGAGATCGCCGTCGGTCACCGGCCCTATATGGGGTGGAAAATCCCTCCTTTCGGTTCTATACGGGATTCTCTCTGCTTGGATACCTGGGGATCGGGGGGCTCGGTGGGGTTGGGGGGTTGGGGGGTTTCTGTGTCAACAGTTTTCGAGAGTTGTATCCCGGGAAAGGCTGTGTGTCCGTCGCGCGTTCCTCGCCCGATCGATTCGAGGAGGAGACGCGGTCGCCGTGGTCGCCGCGACGACGAACGTTGCCGATCACGAGATTATGAGACCCGTATGTGTGCGTCGATCCGCGGTCCACATTCCTGGACACCTGGCTCGCTGCCGATCGCGTGCTCCTCCTCTCCGAGCTCGGTCCTAGACCGGACAGACCAGCAACTCGTACTCGAACATCAACGATACCGCCACGAACACGAAGTACAGGAGGAACATCGTGAACCCGAGGCCCTTGTTCATCCGCCACTTGAAGCACGCGATGCTCATGATCACGAACAACAGCATGCAGAACAGGATCGCTATGCTGCACACCATGCCCACAGAGTTCACCTCCACCGGTTTCCCGTAGATCAGGCCGTACAGCAGCCAGGGCACCGGAAGCCTGTCGACAGAAAAGGTTTCACGATTTTAGTCCGTGATACGGTCGCTTACAAAACCTTGTCAAATATTCTTGGAAATCGTCAGCGCGAAAAAACAAGGTACAGTAAATTCTCCTCAACCCTTAGCGCTCCCAAGGCTCCGCTACGGAGACATTCGTCATTTGTTCCGTAACTCCGAAGGCTCCGCTGCGGAGCCAAATGTTTTTAGCATACGTTATCGTCGGCGTTAGCAATTGTTATCACTAATTAAAACGTGCTAAGTCTGTATCATTACGATTAAACCATTTTTTGACCTTTTCTATTCTGTTTCGATTCGCAATGAATAGCATTCATATTTAGAAGATTACGTGCGAATTGCGTAAAATTTCATTTTATAGTATTAATTTTTGTTGATTTATATGCCATTGAATATTTTTATTTGAATGCTCAATTTTTAAAAAACTGAAGCTAAAATCTTAACCGTAATACATAAAAAAAATACAGTAGTTTTGTAGAAAAATGCATCAAATAAATCAAGATTTGTTAGCAGCATGGAGAAAAATAAATATTATGATGAGAATTTAGAGCCGAGTGATACCGAAAACGTATTTGATTTTCAAGAGTTAAAAGTCATTGTGGAGGACAATGTTGGTTATGATTCTGACACTTCGAGTAGTAGTAGCGAAATTATACTACCAAAGAGACGAAGAATGAGAATTATTGAAAGTGAAAGCGAAGATTCGTTACAAGACTTGGATGAATGGCGCGATGTTACGGAAGAATTACATATTCCAGATAGAATACCTTTTAGTGTATTGCCGCAGGTCATTGGACCACAAGTTCCTACGAACATTGAACAGCCGATACAATATTTTAAATTATTTTTCACGGACGAATCGGTAAATGAAATTATAAAGGAAACCAACGATTACGCAGAAAATGTTCTAAACTTGAAAGAAATATCTAGTAACTCTATTTGGCAAAGTGAATACTGTGACACTTGTCCAAGTAAACCCAAAATGCACATGGGAGATTGCTACCAAAGATATCACACCATGGTTAATTACAAAATTTGAAATTTATCTTTTATTTATAATAGGAAGAGTGTTACCAACAGACAATCGAAGAGTCGAGATCGGACCGTCGAACGATCAACGTTTCGATTTCAAAGATCTGTAACATAATTGAATTGAGTTGTGTTATAGTTTATATTCTTTGTTGTAAATAAAATGCCACGACGCGAGAGAAACGAAGTGAATCGCAACAGTATTTCCTCTACTCGAATTGTTCATTTTTGTTCACAAGCTGAAGAAAAATTGGGGAGAATTTGCTATACTGCAGCTAAATCAATATTACTTTCTTCTTCCGAGAATTTTAGCAAGTTCACTGTAATAATTATTAGACCGCGGATCTTTGTGCAAAATGAAAATAGTCTTCATTAATTGCAAGATACAGGAACTGCATAGACATTCATTCCTTTTGTTGATAATATCGGTGAGTTGACAGGAATGCGATAATATCTTCACATTGATTGAATGATTTAGCTATTTTGCATTTGATCTACTCATTTTTCTCACAAATGCATGAAATTCGCAGTTTAATAATTATCATCGATTGTTTCGTACAGCTTTATTTGACCTGGCCAGTGGATTAGGCTACTTTGTCACTGCGCAGCTGTTTCAATCCAGAAAAATGAATCGCGTGCATAGAACATACAGTAATGTCACCCTTATTGACGCTTAATTTTCGCACCAAAATGGACAATTTGGGAAGAGGAGATACGATTAATTTGAGTCTTGTGCCTCGTTTTATAGTTACGAATTATCAACAACTATAAAAACGAGTTGCAAGGCTCGAATAATCGTATCTCCTCTCCCCACATTGTCCATTTTCGTGCACAATTTGAGCGTCGATTAGAGAGACATTGCTATACGTTGATAACGCAAATGGCCTACTGTTTCATGTTCGCAGAGCTTGCGAAGGCGACAAGAACTCAGGCTCGAGAAAAACGAGCAAATTTTTGGCCGGGAAACGCAGGATCGTCCCCACCCCGTCCACCAATCCCTCATTTCCCGCGATCAGAGTGGATGAATCCTTGGATATTCCCGTGACTCAGCGGGAACTGGGACGAGGTTGGCGAACCGGATCCGATAAATCGTGTTCGACGGTGTTGCGTTCTCGCCGTCGCCCGCCACGCGTTATTTTCCGTTTGGACACATTCTAATCGCAATGTTCGGCGCGCAATCGCGTCTTACGGCGAGATGTATGCGGTTTTTTTCGCCGCGGCTGGCAGCCGCAGAGCCGCGAGAAGTCGCGGCGAGACAAGGCACGGGCAGAGGAAGTGGAAGAGGAAGAGGAAGAGGAAGAGGAAGAACGAGGGGCTCGGGGGCCAGCAGAAGCGAGCGTTCCAGCGGTTTTCTTCCCGGGCAGGCTGCCAGCTGGCAGCCGGACAACGGATGCGTGGAACCGAATCGATCTTCGATCGAGTCGATTGCCGAAACCCGGCCAAGCTCCAGGAAATCGTGCGTACGTATGCGGCTGCGAGGGAGCCCGTTCGTGTGCATGCGCGGCACCGTGTGCGTTCTCGGCTGGAGATCGGCCCGAGGTGATCCCGATTCGACGAATAAACTGGCCGAACCCGCGGCCGCGAGCACGCCCGTTTCTGCAAACACGGGACGGAGAGAACCGGGCTACGGTATTTTACTGCCGGGGCGTTTTCCTCGGCGCGAAACCGCGGTTATCGTTGCGTGAATTAGCAAGCTCTCCGATGGTCTGACTGTGTGCACTGGGTGCATCATCTCCGGGTCAATTATTAGGTCGAGTCATAAATAACTTACGTTTTCTTAGCAGATATTTATTCTGTTTTTCTATTTATTTTTCTGCTTCTTTTCTTTGTTTTATTTTATTTACATTGATCTCTTGTTTGTTCAGTGAAAGCAAACACTCGTTTGTCCCGGTGACGCATAGTGGGTAGATACGAACAGTGGATTCTATCTAGCTGTATCGGAAGTTATTTATAACTCTAATACTCTAACTAGTATTTTTTAATTTAATTTATAATTTTTATATTATAATTATTATAATTTATAATTTTTTAATTTTTTAACTTTTTAATACGAGCTAATATTTTTCAGACCTTGCTTCTTCGGAGTTCTCAGAGTTCTCTCTTCCGGAATTAGTTTCAGTATTTAAAGTGCAATTGGCAGACGCGTTGTTACACGCAATGAACATTTTAAACTGCAGTTGTCAGTTGCTCGTGTCAGTTGGGAATAATGTAGCAGTATTCTTGAATTCTTATAATATTCTCGCTGTATTATTTTATTTCGTTTATTTTTTTTACAACGAAAATATTTGATATATCTCGTTCGATAAACGCGAAGCTAATTATGCCCGAGAAAACCAAAGGCACAGCAATTGGTCACGCGCAGTAACCGGTGCCGTTACCTTATTCATTTTTACAATGATCTAATGGAATCCGAAGGATACAGCGATTAACTATAATGACGGACAAAATGTTCGAACTTAATTTGAACCTTGACGTAACCACGAAATACAGTAATCTCTCTCTAATTGACGCTCAGTTTGTCCACAAAAATGGACAATTTGGGAAGAAGAGATACGATTATTCGAGCCTTGCAGTTCATTTTTAAAGTTGTTGACAATTCGCGACTATAAAAATGAATCGCAATGATCAAATAATCGTATCTCCTCTCCCTAAAGTGCCCATTTTTGTGGACAATCTGAGCGTCAATTAGAGAGACATTACTGTAATTTGTCCAGTTAGCGATTCGCCAGCAGATTTTCATGAACTGCCGCGACGTCGACAAAGCCTGCTCCTTTGTCGCGAGGATTGTAAAACGATCCACGAAGATGGGAATGTTCGCGAAGATCTGGAATACAATAATGACAGTCGCGTTTCGAGGGAACGTTCGCTTAATCGTCAGCAGAGTCGTTCGCGCGAGTATCTTTCCACTGGCGGATTAATGCGGGTCGTTACGCCTCGTATACACCGAATACACCGTAATAAAGAGACCTTAACGGTCGCTGTAATAATATCGTCACCGTCGTTCCATGTTTCCATCTTACGGTTCGGCCTCGCGCACGTTTTACGATATCGAGTGCCGCGCGTCTCTCATTAGCCGCGAATTCATCGCGCGCGCCGCCGCGCCACCGAATCACCGTCATTCGCGAACGCAATAATCCGTCAGGCGTCACACCGTTACTTCGCGGCGTCTGCCAGCTTTTTCGCGATTTTACGGGGCGTCGGTCCACGGTCGCCGACGCGGTTTACTGCCGGCCCCGTTTCCCAGGCGCGCCTCCGCTCCGTCCCGGCTCCAAGATTTATCGAGATGCCGCACGGAATAGGAAGCCGATTAAATTAATTAAGTCAATTAGCCTAATTGCTGGCGACGAACAGCTTCGCAGCCTCTGCGGGCTTCCCGCGGGCCGGGCTACATTTTTCTTCAGGGGTTTCCGGACGTTTCGGACACCGCCGCGCCGCAGCCGAACTTCGCCGTGTCCCAGATTCTCTCCGAGATATACATCCAGATATCTACGTGTCCGACCAAGTCCGCCGAGTGTGACGCTGACTTTTTAATAAGCCGTTGATCGATTGCGGTATCGCCGTTTAGGGACCAAGGGCCATCGGCGCAGGACATTAACGATTCGATTCGAGGGCGCTGGCGTCGGATCCTTCGCCGCTTCTCTGCTTCTTTTAACCCTGTGCGCACAATGGTAATTATTAGACTGCGGACAATACAAATTTTCTGTGTCGATCGAACGACAAGGGTGCCAAGCATAATTTTATTGTTTTCTTTTTTCATCGTTTTAATTAGCTGAAGTTAGTACACCAACATTTTTTATTTCTTTCAGTCCTTTCGCTGTTTTCAGTTTTACTCGCCCATTTTCGTCGCAATTGAATCCGCAGAGTCTAGTGATCATATTCGTATCAAAGGCTGATCGTAATTCTTTCAATTGCTTCCGATTGCGCTTATAATTCCGATTCCAAGTAGATAGAAGTAGA